AGTAAGATCGAATTCCTTTCTTCAAAAAGTAGGCACTTAATATAATGATCTAAGACAACTCCAAAAGATTCATGACGGAAAATGCTATCCACATGCAGAGAAAGAACTATGGCGTCTGAATGCAGACTGAAGGATACTGTTTTCATTTTTTTTTTGTTTTTTCCTTCTTGTGGTTTCCCCTTTTCGTTCTGATTCTTCTTTCACAGCATGACTAATGTGGAGATATGTTTAATATGATTGTAGGTGTATAACGTGTATCAAGACTGCTTGCTGTCTTGGGGAGGGGGGAGAGAAGGGAGAAAAAATTTAGAACTCAAAATCATATAAAAGTGAATGTTGAAAACTATCTTTACACATAATTGGAAAAAAATGAAATTCTATTAGGTAGGGGAAAAAAAGTTGGTACTTTAGTTGGTAAAACTAGCACAAATGAAAAGGACACCACAGGACAATCAAAGCAATCTCCACTTTGGTCATATATCCACATTTCACTTCTTGCTATTTTTACCTATTCATTGGATAGGTATCCTTGATTATATTTTTAAAAAAAGTTTATCAAGGTCTTCTGTTTTTACATCTCCTACATTTTCCTATTGGGCAGCTAGGTGGCCCTGGAGACAGAAGGATCTGAGTTCAAATTTGCTCTGAGACACTTCCTAGCTATGTGACTCTGGGCAAGTCACTTCACCTTGTTTGCCTCAGTTTCCTCCTCTGTCAAATGAGCTGGAGAAGGAAATGGCAAACCACTCCAACATCTTTCCCAAGAAAACCCCAAATGGGGTCATGGACAGTCAGACAGGACTAAATAACTTAACAACAACAATATATTTTCCCAACAACCTACACTCCCCCATAGAGAGGCATTCCTATTTAAATATTTCTTCAAGAAACAGTCTGTAGTTCCTTGTGCAGGCAGAGGTGGCAATGGCTGGCCTTACTTCTGACACCCACTGGCCATGGGTGAGCTCACTAAACCTCTCAGTACTTTCAAGTAGTGAAATCAACTCAACTAGAAACAGGGGCCATGAGAACATTAAGATCCCTGAGGACTGCATGTTGAATTGTTTTAAAAATGTAATGTGATCTATGTTTTATTGTATTTTTACTTACTTTGTTAACTATTTGCCAATGAGTTTTCCTTTGTTTCAGGAGCACTCGGGTGTTCGGGGGCAGGGCAGTGTGTTCGACAGAAGGAGCTAATGCACATTAAGAGGGAGTTCAGTCCCTCTTTCTATCTTTCGCTCTCTATAGTATAAATTGGTAAACTGACTCCACAAGAGTTTGTGTATTTTGTGCTTATTTTAAACAGACCTCTGTTCCTATTTCCTCCTGGATTTTGTTACTGCTGTATAGAAATACTGCTGATTTTTGTGAATTTCATTTATTAACTGTTACTTTAATGAAGCTATGAATTGTCTCAGTTTCTTTGCTGATTTTCTAAGTAAATATTCACGTTATGCACAAAGAGGGAGTTTTGTGGAGAGCCTTTCCTCAATTTCGGAGAAATAATCTGAGAACAATTTGTATAGTACAGATACTAGTGCTTTTTAAAACCAGATAGAGTAGGATTTTTTTCTTTGCTCATTTACAATTAGTTCAACTTACTTTTTTGAAAATAGATCAGTTAAGATTTCTTAACTAATGGTGTTTTGTTAATTTAGGCACTGTAAAAGAATTTGCTGATGACATGAATACTAAAGGGATCTCTCAAAGTTTTGTAGACAATCCATTAATTCTTTTGAATTCTTGAAATTCAAATTGTTGGTAGAAAAATTTTCAAAGAATCAGTTTTTGATATTATTAGCTCCAAAATAATATTTGCTTTCAATTTGTCTATTTAATTTCCAATTATCGACATTTCCTCTTTTGTATCTACTTTAGGTTTGTTAGTTTTCTCATTTTAAAAACTGGGTATCCATTCATTATTCATTTCTTTTTTTTTATTTTGCTAATGTCTGTTTTTAGGGATATGAGCTTATTTTTAAAATATTTTGTTAATTATTTCAATAGAATCTATTCCTTTTGTAATTCTATGTATTTTACTTCATGTATTTAAAAACATTATTCTGAGAAAGACTGCCAGACTGCCAAAGGGATCTCTGATAGAAAAAAGTTTTAAGAACTCCTGCTGTAAGGATTGCTTTAGTTGAATCCCAGAATTCTAGTATGTTTTCTCATCACTGTTTCTGTTACTTGACTTGAGGAGTGTGTTATTATTTCTCCATTTTCATTTTTGCTCCCTGTATTAATCACTATTTTATGGTGTTATAGTCTATAAAGGAAGTATTTAATATTTCTGCTTTTTAAAAAAAACACTTATTTGTAAATTCTTTATGCCCTAGAATATGGTATATGACAGAAACAACAGGCTTTATGAGCACCAAAATATTAAAATATTTATAGCAAAACTGCTCTGTTGTAGCAGAGAAACGGAAACAAAGTAAACTCCCACTGACTGGGGGAATGGCTAAACCGTGGTACCTAAATAACACAATGTTATTGGGTTATATGAATCAAAGAAGATGATGAATACAGAGATTGACCCCAAAGAACTCTGAAAGAGATACCTCCCTAATCACTTCTTTGCAAAAGCAAAGGATTGTGCCTGTGGAATATTGCATATGACGCCAGATGTTTTTTTTTTGCTATATGTTAGTTCTGCTAAAGTTTTTACCCCCCTTTTAATAAATATAATATATTTATTTCTAATATAATATATTTCTATAATAATATAGAAATGGCTCTCTGGTAGGGCTAAGGGAGAATAATACCCTGGGAAATGTAGGTGACACAAAAATTTCATTAATATCTTACATGAGTCTTTTTTCTCCTTTTTTCTAAGTTTATCGAGTTTATCAAGTATTGTTCAGTTCACTGTAAAAAAGGAAATTAAAAACAAAAAAAGAATCCCCAAAGAATTAAAGGGGGAAAAAGCTCAGAACACTAAGCAGCACATATACCCAGCAGGACATTATGTATAGCATCCTACACACATAGCCCTCCACCAGTGCACAGAAGAGAGTGATGCATTCACTGACCCTGCATCCACCCTGGTCCGTACAGCCACCATTTTGAAAAGCAACTCTGTGGAGAAGGGGGCCAGCCATGCCACTAACTGCAGTAAAGTCTGGCTTGCTGAAGAAACAAGGTACCACAAAAGAAAGAAAGAGGCATCTAGTGGGCAAGGCAAACCACTACCACTCTCTTCACTATCACCTCCCCTCTGAGCCAGCCTCACTTTCACCTCTTGATCTCTATCTGGCCACTGGACCCAGACGGTTCCAGAGGTGAAGGTGAGCCTGGTGACTCTGCACAGCCCTCTCTCACTCAAATCCAATTCACTTGCATGTCGTGGCATCACCTCCCTGATGTCATGGTCCTCTTCAAAAACAAAGGACAAACAGCAGAGAGCAACCCCTCCAAGCTCAAAGGAGACAGCCCAGGACCCTGAGACCACCACCCTGACTTCTCAAGTCTGAGTCACCTGTAGCCACCACTGAAATGAGGAACCACTGAAGAAAGGGCTCACCACCAACTGCTGACCAACTGTGGCCAAAGGGCAGGCAGGTCCTGGGAAGCAACTCCTTTGGAGAGGAAACCCGGTAATGGTCTTTGTAGGTACTGAAGCCCTGCCTCCTCAGGGCTACTGAAGACCCAGATAGGAAAATTCTCACCACCAATGAGCCTGGGCTCAATCAGTAACAGATCATTCCATTATCAGTGGAAATGACATAAAAGAAGATCAGTCACCACCTGCTTTGTCACTGTACCCTAATGACTATGCGGCTGAAATCTTCTATACGTCTGGGATTCAGGAAGGCAGTACCAACAGAGAAGGAGCTAGCTTAGTATTACCACTTCATGGTAGAGAAACCCTCAGATTGATATCCACACCATAAGGCCATACCCAATCCCTATTATCTGTGGCAAAGGAGGTCACCTTGCCTTTATACATATCCTCAGGCTGCCTTTTATGTAATTTGCCAGCAGGAGAAGTAGCAGAGATAGCAACGATAACAGAAGAACCATATTCAAGAGGTACCTTCAATATTTAAATTGCTTCTATGTCTATTTTAAAAAAGAACAATCCTAAACTTTGAGGTCATGTTAGTATATTTTGAATGCCTTGGCTATAAGAAAACATGTTGAAAAAAAAAAAGGCCTCAGTTTAAAAAGCTATATATAGAAAAGTTTTGAAGAGACCAGAGCCTAAAAATCATCTAAAAAAATTCTTAAATCCTAAGAAAGAAAGCAAAATCATCAATCTAATATTGGATGTTTATTACAGTTAGCATCTTCTTTTATATATGTCAGATTAATGATATGGTTGAGTTGCATTCTTCACTTGCTCTATGTGCATGTTAAAGAAACCTGAAAGCTGCCATCTCACCAGTGTGCACAGGATATCTGTGTCCTTTCTATAGGACTCAGAGGCATTTTCTAGTTTAAATAACTACAGGTTTAAAGACATAGCTTTGCTTTTATGACACATGCAACCTTCAGTTAAAACAATGATTTTAACATAAAATAAAAACTGTCTTCTATTTTCCAAAAATGTTTTGGCATGAAAAATTAGGGACAGCCTCTCTCTGATCAAATGGTGTGATACAAGCAATGTTACAGGAGTTCAGAGAAGAGAGGCATCACTGTGAGTCAGTGGTATCAGAAAATGGAAGTCAAAATAATGATTCATGTAAGCAGCCAAACTGCAATAGAGACCTTGCTTATCATTATACTTTAAAATCAAGGTGCTAAGTAGACGGAGACTCTAAACCATAATGAGCTCTAAGACCACTTCATGATTTTCTAGTTGAACAGTAACTTGATGCCTCCTTCACAGAGTCAACGGAGAGTGAATTACTATTCAACAAGAAACTGTCTCTGAGACATAAAGTGATACGAACCTTGTGCTCACATGGAAGCATGAAGCAGTATTATAACAAGGAAAATATATTACTTAAAAAAAAATACTAGTTAGTTAGCAATTATATTAAAGTTACCTGAAGTCAGAAGTGCTTCTGGTCTGGTCTGCAATACATGTAAACTTATCTGTAATAAAGAAAAAAAGAAAGATTTGCATCTCACTTGGGGGGATATGTTATTTTTAATCTTAATATCATTTAAATCTCAAGAACAGAACAGACTTAAGCCATGTAATTGCTTGCCCATCTCCCCCTACAATTGTTTTGTAGTTCACAATTTAAATACTATGGGAAATATACAACACTGGCCTGACACTTTCTTTGAAAAAACTGTTGAGATGCCAGTTGGAAAGTCACTGCTTTACAGAAAAGAAATACTGTAGAAAAAATGCTTAATGGGATGTCTTGTTAATTGAAAATAAAGATATACACTACATTTAGACAAGTTTCTATATAGTAAGGGATTTGAAATCTTTCAATCTCTGAATTTAATGTGTTCTTCTTATGATCTAAATCTAAACCTTTCTTCCCAATTCCAAGTCCATTACAACAATCTATGAACTAAAACATAAAAAATGGGACTTAATGTGTTTCACTTTATCAAATTATAGGGGAGGATTCATTTAGCAAAATAACTCATCACAGAATTTCTTTTATCTAGGAAATCTTCCTCAACCTATTTAACATGCCAATTTACATGTAACTTTTCTGGAACCTGTTATATAAAGTGATCTATATTTACCAACATCTAGCCCTTTCAGGTTAAAAGTATAGCTGCTGACAGAAACCAAAAGATTTTCCTGCAGGAGAGATCTTATTATATATCATCACTGAAAGTAATTCTTCAAGTTAAGCGTATTATATATTACATATTAAATTACTAAATCAGAATAGTAGATTTTCCTGTCTGTCCCACTAACCTTCATTCTCACCTCCACCAAAAATCCCTTTAGAGTACAAATCCCATAAATAGCAAAAATGAAAACCATTTCACACAGCTGAATTTTCAATGCTTTACCCTGGCCACCCACAGAAAAAAGAAGCATAACATACACATCCAAACATCATCACATTATTGAGCAAGTGTTAAGAAATTATTTTTAAAAACAACTACTGATGTACAAAGGAAAGAAAAGCTTCAGATATATTAGAAAATTCAAAGTCAGGTATGCTTTATATTTAGATTATCAGGTGTATCCATGAGAAATAATATACCTGCTAATCAACTATGACAATGTAGGCCAATATGAAAAGACATTTTGGGCCATTTCCTAAGTAAAGTATTAATCCTGTGTAGATGCATAAAAGGAAGACAGGAATAAATGACTGCAAAATTGGTGGAGTTGTGAAATGATCCAACCATTTTGGAGAGCAATTTGGAACTATGCCCAAAGGGCTATCAAAATGTGCATACCCTTTGACCCAGCAATAGCACTTCTAGGGCTATATCCCAAAGCGATAATACAAATGGGAAAAGGACCCACATGTACAAAAATATTCATAGCAGCTCTTTTTGTGGTGGCAAAGAATTGGAAATTGAGAGCATGCCCATCAATTGGGGAATGACTGAACAAATTGTGGTATATCAATGTATGGAATAATATTGTGCTATAAGGAATGATGAACAAGCTGACTTCGGAAAAACCTAGAAAGACCTGTATGGTCTGATGCTGAGTGAAATGAGCAGAACCAAGAGAACGCTGTACACAATAATAGCCATGTTGTGTGATGACGAATATTGATAAACTTAACCCTTCCCAGCAATACAAGGATCTAAGACATCTCCAAAGGCCTCATTATGGAAAATGCTATTCACATCCAAAGAAAGAACTAAGGAGTTTGAATGCAGATCGAAGCATACTATTTGCTATTTTTTTTTCTTCTGTTGAGCTTTGTATCCTCTTTCTGGCGGTTCTTCCCATTTGTTCTAATTTTTACTTACAGCATCACTAATGTGAAAATATGTTTAATAGGAATGTATATGTATAGCCTATATCAGATTGTGTGCCATCCTGGGGAGGGTGGTGAGGAGGAAGGGAGAGAAAAATCTTAAACTCAAAAGCATATGGAAGTGATTGTTGATAAATCAAGATAAACTAATTTTAAAAAATTCCATGGAAAATAATAATAAAGAGAAAAGCAATCATGGGATAGTTCTGAAAACTTCAATTATTTCACTTTGAGTGATAGTCAAAGCCCAACTGTAAATGTACTCCAACTCTTAGTTTGAAGGAAAAACTGGATTTTAAAAGGAATGAAACTGTGTAAGTTGGAGAGTGATATGGTCAGATTAATGATTTAGGTAGATAAATAAATGGGAAACCGAGTAAGAAGATACTGCCATTGTCCAGGCAAGTGGTGATGATGACCTGTGGTGGTTGAGAAAAGACACACAATTATGAAGGAAGAATCAACAAGACGTGGTATCTTATTGGCTATGGGGGATGAGTCAGGGATAGTGCTGAGTTTATGAAACTGGGTGACCAGAAGGACCGTGGCTTTATAGAAGGAGTAACCCCAAGAAAAAAAAAATCCTGTGATATGGAAGATAAAAGCCCCAGGGTAACACTGGTTCCTTTGGGAAAGAATCCTGGGATACTGCAAGTAGAAACAACTTGCTGAAGGAGTACAAATGCTGGCAGCATCCTTGACATTTCTGGACCCTGGTATAAGCTCCTATTTCCTCATTCCAGCTATGCCTCTGATTATATGGGTAGTGAGGAGCTGGGGACTGCAACAAAAGTCTAGATGAGAGGATTTAAATTGGAGTGTTTATTGTGGTAGTAATAAAACAAGGAGAAGAATATTAAAAATATTAGAGAAGTAGATTTGATAAAAAGATCGGATGTTGGAAGTGAGGGAGGGTGAAGAATTGAGAACAACTCCAAGGTTTCCATCCTGGATGTCTGGGAGAATGGTGATATGATCACTGAAATGGTAGACTGGGGGGAGGAGGGGAGAAGAGGAGACATTAGAGATCTTTTGGGGATAAAATACGCTCAGTACACTTGAGGAGTCAGTGGAGAGATTCAGCAGGCAGTTGGAAATGCGGTTTGTGCCATAATTTAAACCTGAAGCTACCACCACCATGTCCTAAGAAGGGATGTGCCTGCAGGATCCCAGAATGCATTCCTGGATCAAATACCTTAAGAAGTTCTCTACAACATTAGACATTATCTTTGGAACATTAAGCCTTGATCATATTGTTGTTTCGCAATCTAGTCAAATGTGGTAGCAAGGCCATCATTATTAAGTAATCTGAGATTTATATCAGCATGTGCTGAAAACAAAATTCTTGTTTCCTTTTTCACTTTACTTTTTTTTTTCCTACTTAAAGTTGAAGGTATGTTGATTCACAATTCCAGATATTTTATCAGGACCATTTGGGAAGGAAAAGTGATACCTTAAAAATTTTTTTTTAGCAGATTGACAGGTGGGCATACAAACTCTCAAAATATTGGTAGTCTTTGTTATTAAAGTTTGTATTTTTAAAACACGACCACCAATTTTAAAGAAAAATTAAAGTTTTAGTTCCATTTGATGGATAAAAATGTCAATTATGATTAAATATTCAGTAAATGTTAACTTCGGGGGAAAAATAATTAAATTCTCTGGGGACATACTCTAATGAAATGTGCTGCGTAGACCTATGAACCGATTGAGCTATAGTCATTAAAAAACAACAACAATAACAACAACTAGGTTTTATACCACATTCTTATTACTCTACAGTCTGTAGAAAAATTTTTATGAAGGACAGGTAGCATTCTTTAAAACACATACACACACACCTGCCGCATGCACACACGTAAAATCACTGCTGCTATTTTTTTTATACAATAATCCTCAATGGCAGGCATTGAAAACCATAAGCTTGCAACCTTTTTTCTTGTAATTAAATATTCCCCTCATCCCGAGACTTTAGAACAATTTTATTTTCAAAACAAATACAACATCACAAAATAGGGGTGGACCTCTGAAGAAGCTACAAGGGTCCTAAGACTTTTATAAAAGACTCACATTGAACTTTCAGTCCATTAAGTGCCCTTCCTTCGTCTGTTATCTAGAGAGGAAGAACACTGGACGTGGGATTCAGCAGTGAATGAGGTTTGAAGAAAAGCTCCTCTGAGATTCAGTTTCCTATCTATAAAAGGGAGATGATAATTCTTGTAGTACTTAGACTCATCAGTTCATTGAGAGGATCAAATGAAAATCATGTTTGTGCCCCAGGCAATTTCATAAGTCTGAATCTATCCATCTGCCGATCTTCATTAGTGGAGAGTTTCTATACCAGAAGTTCCACTAACAAAGTCAAAGGGTCCCCACCAAAAGGAAAACAACCCAAACTCACATCTTTAGAGATAAGATTCTAACCTACTGGGATCTTTCTGGATCCAGACTCAACCAATTTACTAACTGCCTCTCCCTGCTTCTTATTGTCTCCAAATCTGATAAACGTGTAATTTGTTTTTAAATATGACAAAAAAGAGAGGATCTACTTTTTATTAAATTTTTTAAAAAAATATTTCATTTAAGTTCTATAGCATTATAATATAACTTTGTTCTCAAAAGCTGTATTATAATAGAATACCACTCACATTGATATTGTCTATGCACAGATGTCCGAAACTGTAACCACAGCAGTTAAAAGCATATATTCATGTATTAACATCAAGCTCTAAAAATTTGGTCATGTTCCTAATAATTAAAATGGGGAAAGTATGTTCTATAATGTGTACATATTTGAACAGTTTCAATATAATTTACGTGAAGTTGTAAAGAATTTACTTTTACAGTGAGTGTACCAACTAAAATGTTAAAAGCAACAAGGGCAAGAGAATTAGAGAGTGTCTGATGGTTTCAATTTTAGATAATATATAATCTTGTGAAAGCCATGTTGAAATTATAGGCAAAACCCCTTTAAACCATACCACAGCTCTGCCGTACTATGCTAGAGGATACCTCCTTGAGATTTTGCTGCCAGGGCACCGACAATACTTGTACCCCAGTTCAAACCTTAGGGTCTCTAAACTACAAGATGAGTTTTAAAGGTTAAGCAAGTAATGAAAACAAATTCACAGAAAGCAGGCATTTAAAAAGATTTTGGCTTTCAGTCACTTAAGAACTTT